AAACAACATATGTTGGAGGCTGTGGAGAAGGGGAACCCTCCTACACTATTGGTGGTAATGCAAGTTAGTGTAGCCACTTTGGAAAACAGTGTGGAGGTTCTTTAAAAAATTAAAAATAGAGCTACCCTATGACCCAGCAATTGCACTATTGGATATTTACTCCAAAGGTACAGATGTAGTGAAAAAAAGGGCGATATGCATCCCAGTGTTCATAGCAGCAATGTCCACAATAGCCAAACTGCAGAAAGAGCATAGATGCCCTTCAACAGAAAAATATATAAAGAAGATGTGGTCCATATACACAAGGGAGTATTACTCAGCCATCAGAAAGGATGAAAATCCAGCTTTTGCATTAACATGGATGGGACTGGAGGAGATTATGCTAAGTGAAGTAAGTCAAGCAGAGAGAGTCAATTGTCATATGCTTTCACCTATTTGTCAAACATAAGGAATGCATGGAGGACATTAGGAGAAGAAAGGGAAAAACGAAGGGGGTGGGAATCAGAGGGGGAGAAGAACCATGAGAGACTATGGACTCTGAGAAACAAACTGAGGGTTTTAGAGGGGAGGAGTGGGGGGGGGATGGGTTAGCCTGGTGATGAGTATTAAGGAGGGCATGTATTACATGGAGCACTGGGTGTTATATGCAAACAATGAATCAGGGGACCCTACATCAAAAACTAATGATATACTATATGGTGACTAACATAAAAAAAAGTTTGAATCAGTAATCAAAAGCTAACCAACTTAGAGAAGGACAAGACCTGACAGTTCCAATGGTTCATTCTACCAAACATTTAAAGAAGAATTAATGCCAATCCTTTCAAACTCTTCCAAAAAATAGAAGAGGAAGGAACATTCCCAAACATTTCACAAGACCAGCATATTCTAACACCAGAGCCAGATAAGGATGTAATAAAAGGGAAAAAAACCCTACAGACCAATATTCCTGATGAATATAATTATATAAATTCTTAACAAAATATTAGCAAACAAAATTCAATTGCACATTAAAAGGATCATAAACCATGACTGAGTGATATTTATCCCTAGGATTAAAGAATGGTTCACAAATCAATACACGTGGCACACCACATTAACTGAATGAAAGATAAAAATCATATGATCATTTCAATAGATGCAGAAATAACATTTGACAAAATACATTAGCTTTCCATGATAAAAATCCTCAACATATTGGGTATAGAAGGAACATACTTCAACATAATAAAAGTCATATATGACAAACCCACAGCCAATACTATATTCAATGGGGAAAAATTGAAAGTTTTTCCTCTAAGGCCAGGAACAAGACAAAAGTGCCCATTCTCATTTACTCAGCAAAGCACTGGAAGTCCTAGCCAGAGCAATCAGTCAAGAAAATAAAACAAAAGGCATCCAAATGAAAAAGGAAAATTGTTTTAGATACAGATGATGTAATTTTTTATATAGAAAATATATTTACAACACCAAAAATCTAATCAATGAACTCAGCAAAGTTGCAGGATACAAGATCAACATACATAAATCAGTTGTATTTCTGTAGACTAACAACATTATATCTGAGAATGAAATAAATAATCCCATTCACAATAGAATAAAAAAATAGGAATAAGGTTAACCAAAAAGATGAAAGATCTCTACAGTGAAAACTATAACTTTGGTTAAAAAAAATTGGAGAAAACACAAACAAATGGAAAAATATCCCACGTTTATGGATCAGAATTAATACTGTTAAAATGTTGATACTACTCAAAACCATCTATGGCATCAATACAATCTCTATCAAAATTCCAACATCTTTCTCAGTAATAGAAAGAAAAAACTTAAAATTTGTATGGAATCATCACAGACCCTGAATGGCCAAAGTAATTCTCAGGAAGAACAAACTGGAGGCATCACACAAAGCTTCAGGGAATAAACTCCGACAGAAAGACCAATGGAAACAAAGTGACAGCCCAGAAATAAACCCTCACGTACGGGGTCAACTAATATTTGACAGGGACTCAAGAATACTCAATGGGGAAAAAACTCTCTTCAATAAATGGTTCTGGAAAACAGGTTAGTCACATTAATTAAATGGGACCCTTACACCACACATCAAAGTCAACTTGAAATGGATTAGAGTCTTAAACATAAAAACTAAAACCATAAAACTCCTAGAAGAAAACAAAGGGAAAAAATTCCTTGACATTGTTACTGGCAATAATTTTTTGGTTGTGATACCAAAACCATAAGCAATAAAAGGAAAAATTAGTAAGAGGGAATATATCAAACCAAAAAGTTCTGCACAGCAGAAGAAAAAGTCAACAAACTAAAAGGCAACATATTGAATGGGAGAAAGTATTTGCAAGTCATATATCTGATAAAGGCTTAATATCCAAATTATATAAAGAATTCATACAATTTTAACTTTCTTCTGATTAAAAAATAGAGGAACTGAATTTGGGAACTTCTTTCCCAAAGAAGACATACAAATGACCAACAGATAGGTGAAACATGAACAGATACACTGACATCAGTAATCTTCAGGAAAATTCAAATCAAAACCACAATGAGATATCACCTCGCAACTGCTAAAGTAGCTTTTATCAAAAAAACAAGAGTTAACAAAAATTGGGAAGGATGTAGAGAAAAGGGAACTCTTGTGCACTGTTAGTGGGAATGTAAATTGGTGCAACCATTTTGGAAAACAGAATGGGGTTTTCTTAAAAAATTGAGAATAGAATTGTTATATGATTTTGCAATCCCATTTCTGGGTATATATCCAAAGGAAAGGAAAACAGGATCTCAAAGAGTTGTCTGTATTTCCACATTCATTTCAGCATTAATCACAACAGCCAAGATATGGAAACAACCTAAGTGTCTGTCAATGGATGAATGGATAAAGATGTGATATATATGTGACTATTATTCAGTCATAGGAAAGAAGGAATTCCTGCCATTTACAATAACATGACTGGACTCTGAGGGCATGATGTTGAGTGAAATAAATCAAGACAGAGAAGGACAAAGACTGTATGGTCTCACTTATATTTGGAATCTGAAAAAAACAAAGTTATAGAAACAGAGAGTGGAATGGTGGTTATCAAGGGCCAGGGGTATAAGAAATAGGAAGAGCTTGGTCAAATGATCCAAATTTTCAGTTAGAAGATGAATAAATTCTGGGAACCTAGTGTATAATATGATGATTATGATTAATAGTACCATAGTATATACTTGAAAGTTGCTAAGAGAGTAGATCTTACATGTTCTCACTACAAAAAAATGGTAACGGGATGTGGTGGAGTTGTTAGTTAATGCTATAGTGATAATCATTTTGCAATATACAAGTGTATCAAATCTAAATGTTGTCCATATTAAAGTTTCACACTGTTCTATGTCAGTTATATCTTAATCTGGAAAACAAAATCATCCTCAGCAGAAGACACTAGATACTAGATACTGCAGAAGGAAGGGACTTTTTTCCTGGTTCTTGTCTGGCATGCTTCTGTTTGTTTCTCCTTGTTCCTACAGTATGATTGTTGCAGGGGGAGAGGACATCCAGAAGTGCTTGGCTCCATCCATAGGTCATAAGCTTGAGCCTTGTCCCCTGTCTAGTGACCTGCTGATATGTAAATGGCTCCAAAATGGCTTCTAACTTTTTACACATCCATTTGTTTTCTTTTTCTTTTTAAGATTTTATTTATTTATTTTTTGAAAGAGAGAGGAGAGAGAGAGCATGTGTAAGGGGAAGAGGCAGAGGGAGAAGCAGACTTTCCACGGAGCAGGGAACCCTCGATGTGAGGCTCAATCCCAGGACCCCAGGACCATGACCTGGGCAAAAGGCAGTTGTTTAACTGACTGAGCCACCCAGGTGCCCCATCCATTTATTTTCAATAAAGCCCAACTTAGCAGTTTTTAGATGTTGAGAGCCTGCCTGTTTTGCATACCCGGTGAAACTGCACCCAATATGTGCTAGTCATAGATAAGATAAAGCCTGTTGATTATCAACACCCACACCATTATTTGCCCTTAATTGCTCTTTGACTCAGAGACTCCCATATCTGCTGCTGAGCAACATTACCTAGATGTTAAGCACCTTCTCTGATCTCTTCCCCTGGGAGTTCCCTTGTCCTCCTCCCCTTCTGGATGGTGGCCCTTGGAGTTTCTAGATGGTCTCCTGCTGTTAAAGGGCTTCTAGGACAAACAGACCAACTTAAATGAAGCTTGTGTGTGCTACTGCCACCTTGTGGTCATATCTTTTTCTTTGACAGGTCCCCCAAATCCTTCCAGTCTCCTTAAACCTTCTCACTGCAGCTGTCCCAACACAGACATGGACATCCCAGGCCTTGTGCCCTCTGGCTAATGAGCAAGCTCTTGATACCTAAGCTCCCTCCTGCTCACCTCTACCTGCTTACCAGGAGGGGTGTTATAGCTTCAATCTAGCTGTACTTTAAAGGGATGTCTCCTGCTTGTGTAGCAATAGAACTAGCAACCTTCTGTTTTCCCTTGGGCTGCAAACTCACATTATCCAGTGATTTCTGAACCTGAAACTTAGGGAGAGGCTCCTCTGTCATGTTCAGTCCTTTCACTCTACCCTAGACTTATGGTATTCTTGGAGTCCTCTTGACCGTTTATAGTTCTTCCTCTGTTATAATTTGATTCTTGATATTGACTTTCCCTATTCAAATTCTACATGGTTGCTGTCTCTTGAATGGATCCTACATATCTTTGGCCCTTTTGCATTGCCACCCCAAACCCTTTATAGCTTCTGATGGATCTCTTCCCTGACATCTCCAGGTCTCACAGTGGTTTTGAATGTAAGGGATCGACATTAAAGGAGGAGTGTTTTGCTGGTGTTTTCTGAGACTCTACCTCTCTGTGCCCTTCTGTGCCTGCTCATTTATTTCACTCAGCTTCATTACCAGTCTAAACTTGGAAGATGGTGAGAATACCTGATAAGAAGGATTTCTCCATGCTCCTCATGTACAAATGGCTCTTTTGTTTCTCTTTCAAAGTTCATTGTGGCCACCGACCTGCCTTTTCAAATTCATCATTGTTATCATTTCGTGAACTGTTTGAAGTCCAGGAAGGTGAGTTCCCATGGCAAGTGAGTATCCAGATCTCACGGAAACACCTCTGTGGAGGCTCAATCATACATCGGTGGTGGGTTTTGACAGCTGCCCATTGCTTCCCAAGAACCCTGTAAGTTTCTGAAGCATTGTCTTAATTTGCATCAAATTTCCTCAACATTTTAAAAAAGATTTTGTCTATTTGGCAGAGAGAGAGATCACAAGTAGGCAGAGAGGCAGGTAGGGGCGGTGGGGGGAGTGGGGAGAAGCAGGCTGAGCAGAGAGCCCGATGCGGGGCTCAATCCCAGGACCCTGAGATCATGACCTGAGCTGAAGGCAGAGGCTTAACCCACTGAGCCACCCAGGGGCCCCTTTCCTCAACATTTTGTCTGGGCTGCATAGTTTAATGGATTAGTCACAAGGGTTATGAACCCATGGACTCTATACCCAGTTTGTTCCCATTGGCTTTGTATCAAAAAGTCTCTTTTCTATACCTACTTTCTCCTTTTAAGTGAACCATATCCTAAGGTTGGCTGCTAGTTGTGACTATGCACCCAGTATTGGAAAATCAGTACAAGTTTTTCCTTCTCCTGCCTGCCATATGTGCAGACAATGCACTATGTTTGTTCATTGTACACATACTCATTAAACACCTACCATGGGCTGTTCCAAGTGCTGGTGATATAGCAATCAACAAGACAGTCAAAATCCCTATTGTCAAGGAATTCACATTCTATTTTCTTGAATGGATTCATTCGTCTTTCTTTGGGTCGGGGAAATCTTCCTGGGCCAATGATTCACTAGCTTAGACATTTGCTTGAGCCTGGACTCCTGATTCCTGCCACTCTGATCTTTAGCCAGTCTCTAGGGCACTACACGTCCACTTCTTCAGATTTCTCAGTATCACTTGTGAACTCTGCTGTTTACAAATGCGTCTATAAATGTGAAATGTAGTGTAACTGTTACTATAGCTTGGAGTTATTATTTTCATTTTTTAGGTTAAAAATGGCATTGGGAAATATTACCGTGGTCATGGGAACCAAAAGATTCAGTGATGTCCACTTGGAGAGAAAGCAAGTGCAGAAGATAATTATTCACAAAGATTATAAACCATCCCACCTTGACAGTGATCTCTCCTTGCTCCTGCTTGCCACACCAGTACAATTCACTAACTTCAAAATGCCCATCTGTCTGCAGAAGAAGGAAAGGATCTGGGACCGGTGTTGGATGGCAGAGTGGGTGACAGCTTATGAGCATGGTATGTGTCTTCCCTTCAAAATCCATAGAAAGTTCACATTTATGTTTCCCTGGGCTAGACAGCATGATGCTTTGGAAGACTCAGGTCTGAATTTTGGTCTCATGACTCTAGCTTTGTGATCTTGAGCTAGTTCTTCCACCTTCATCACCCTCACCTTTTCTCACCTGTAGAATGACAGCAATGTCTCCCTCAAATCGGTTATGTGGATTAAATTAAACGCAATTATATTGTAAAGTCCCTAGTGAAAGCCTGGAATATAGAAGAATCTCAAAATATGAGAGTGATAATTTGGGGGGGGGCAGAAACACTGGGCACTAGAAAGCCAATTTGGATTCTTCCTTCATGGGTTGTTTTATAATGTACATCTCTCCATCTGTTTATCATTTGATGAAAGTCAGTGATCAAACTGAACCAGTGATTCTTCAACCAAGCTTTGTCATCAATGACTCTACTCTTTCCCCAGGGCTCAAGGCTGGCCAGACAGTGAGAACCTCTGGGAGGGTGGGAATGGGATGGGGAAGCTAGAAGGTCCTCTAGAATTAGTTTTTTCCTTTCCACAAATTGGCAGTAATAGGCGGGTCATTTTCCTGGTTTCTCCACTGACCTAGCAGAGACACTGGACAACACTGACTCAGAAGCTGTGTTGTTCTGAACCTCAGCACAGGGACCAACCATGCCTGTGGAGAGATAGTAGAGCCATGGAGAAAGTTTATTCTAAGTTTACCTGGCAAGTACTGGTGCTGTGAGTTTAGTAGACTGCTTCCAGAAGGAATGAGTTTCCCAAAGAGAATACATACAAGCATAAATGAAAGAACCACTTATTGGAGATCTTGAGGAGGAGATTGAGTGGGGCATTACATTAGGTCACCTCTAAGGCCTTTGTACCCTGTGAGTCTATGGTTTGCAAAGTGTTTGCATCATTCCGTGGCTTCCACCCTGATCAACCACTTTCAGTGGTTGATGCAGCACTCATTCTCACACTAGCTTCCTCATTTCCCAGACCTAAAGGACAACTTAAACGTGTACCTGCAGAAGCTGAGAGTGATGCAGATTAGCTGGAGAGAATGCAGCAAGAGAGTAGACCAGCTCTCTAGGAACATGGTTTGTGCTTGGAAGGAACCAGGCACCAAAGGCGATTGCCAGGTACTCAGCCCTTGCCTCAGCCCCATCTTCCACGTCCCACCACTTTCTAGGTTCTCAGGATAGTACCCTGGAGAGAGGCCCCTAGTCCATGCCACTAGGGCCCCCTCATCCTGCCTTCTTTTTAGAGCTACTGTTGATTCCTTGCAGACTGTACTTTCTTCATTCTCTCATTCTCAGGGAGACAGTGGGGCACCTATGGTCTGTACTACTCATGGAACCCAGAGGCTCTTCCAAGTGGGTGTCTTCAGTTGGGGTACAAGATCTGGCTTCAGGGGGAGGCCCGGTATGTTTGTGTCTGTCGCTCAATTTATTCAATGGATCCAGGAGGAAACAGAAAAGGAGGGAAAAGCCTATACCATCTCAGGAGCCTGGAGAAGCTCCCTGCTTCATGTTCCAATATATCCATTATTGTTGGGCGTGGGTTCTCAAATGTTGTTTGCCACCATGTTTACTAGTGATAAATCAAATCACTAAGCTTTAGACTCATCTTTACTTCTTCTCCTCCTCCTTTTTTCCCCTCCCATTTTTACAAAAACATCTATGAAACATTGATATGAGTTTATCTTCTCTGCTAAACCCTGGAAGTTAGACATTTAGTCTCCCAAATATTGCATATTGCAAATCTAATGAAGCAAGACCAGATACAGCACTAAAAAGAGGTACAAGCAGTACATTGGGGATCTCAGAGGAATAAAGATGACCTCCAAAAAGGTCAAAGAAGGCTTCAGGATAGTGTTGGAAATCAAACCTTGAGGAGTCACTTATGTTTTTGGACCTTGATTTCTTTATCTATGAGTAAGGAGATTTGATCACATGAATTTCAAGGTCTTTCATCACTGACATTTTGTGTTATTGAGTAAATTCTTTTACTTCTTTCATGGAACATAGTATTGCCAAACATGTGACCAGCTTTAATTCCATCATCCCAGTGCTTTACACAGACCCAAACACAGGGAGATGACCAGCTGAGGTAAAAATGCTTTCATCCTGGGCCAGTCATGAAGTAAAGTCTATGGTAGAGTTAGGATCAGGAGTTTCTTGTCCTATTTAGAGTTGAAAGTAGGGTGATTATGACTTGAGACTTAGAGATCATACCTTTCTTTCCCTCCTCTTAATATCACCAACTAAAATGTTAGCCTAATGAAGTGGCTTGGAGGAATCAGCAAAATCTGCCCTTTCCATAGACATGGGTAACTGAATGAGGGCCACTGTTGAGTGGTCAAAGTCATTACTTCTAAAATGGGAATGGATGAAAATTCAAGGACAAGAAAGCCAGTAGGTCCTGTCACTAAGAGGAATCAGAATAGCTGGTGTGCCCAAACAAAAATACAAAGGATAAGAATTTGTTCTTAGAAAACTGTGAAACAATATTTAAAGATCAGGGCTATAAAGTGCAGTCAGAGACCAGTTGTAGAGTCTTTCCAAGGTTCTTTCTTGGTTGAGTCAACCTGACATGGACATGACCCAAATTAGAAGATGCAAAGAAGACAATCAACAATACGTCACCCCATGGGAGTCCATAAAGAGAAAAACATTCATTCATTCAGATACCTTGTGAATAATGAATGTGTATTGGGCATTGTAAAAATAAAGGGATGTAAATATGTAAGGTTCATGTCTTCAAATGTGTATGAACCACATTTATGTAGCCACAATCAAATTTATGAATCTTTTCAAGGAGTCTCAAAGTGATTATTTTTATGGGATATTATTATTTTACTGACCATATTAGAGTTTTCCAGAGAAACAGAAAAAATTGTGTATGAGGGGGAGGGAGAGAATTAGAGTTTTATTTAAGAAATTGACTCATGCAATTATGGAGGATGGTAAGTCTGAAATCTGAATGGAAGACTAGCAGACTGGAGACCCAGAGAAGGATTGATGTTGCAATGTGGAGTCTGAGACAGTCTGGAGGAATTTTTCCTTCCTCCCTAGGACTAAAATTATCTGGATGTCTGGTAAAAATGCAGATTCCTGGATTTTATCTCAGCCTTACAAAATTAGGAGCTCTAGGGGTGAGGCCCAAGGCATCTGCATTAGAAGCTCTCTGGGTCATTCTTTTAAATTTTTAAAGTTTTAACAGCTTTGCATGTACAATAAATTGTACACATTGACGTATAGAATTAGGTAAGTTTTGACATACGTATACACTCATGAAATGATCACCACAATCAAGAGAATGAATGTACCTATTAACCCAAAGCTTTCCTCATGACTTTTGAGACACAAAAGTTTTAAATTTTCATGAATCCCAATTTACCAACTTTTTTTCTATGGTTCATGCTTTGATGTTGTAACTAAGGAATCTTTGCCTAACTCAAAGTTGCAAAGACCATTTTTGTTTGTTTGTTTGTTTTGTCTTGTTTTGTTTTCACTTTAACATTTTAAAAATTTTATAGACTTTTTGGTATTCAAAAAAATTTTATTGGGGTATAATTAACATTCAGTGTGATATTATTTTTAAAAAAATCAATATAATGATTCAACAATATTATATGTTATTCAGTGCTCATCAAGATAAGTATACCCTTGGTCTCCTTTATGTATTTCACCTTTTACCCACCCACTTCCCTCTGGCAACCACCAGTTAATATACTTTTTTGAGTAGGTACAGGTTTACAGAAAAACTGAGCAGAAAGTACAGAGAGTTCCCAAATACCGCCACCCCCTCCCAATTTCCCCTATTTTTAACATTTCGCAGTAGTATGGCACATTTATTACAATTACTAATTCAATATTGGTAGATTATTAACTGAAGTTTATAGTTTAGAGTTCATCCTTTATGTGGCACATTCTATGGGTTTTAACAAATGTATAATGACATGTCCACCATTACAATATCATACAGAATAGTTTCACTGCTTTAAAAATGAGGTGTGCTCCTCCTATTCATCCTCTACTCCTAAATTCCTGGCAACTACTGATTTTTTTACTGCCTATGTAGTTTTGCCTTTTCTGGAGTGTCATGTAGTTGGAATCATACAGTGTGTGGACTTTTGAGATTGGCTTATTTTTAGACTGACTTGTTTTAATGTGAATTTAAGTTTTCTCTATGTCTTTTCTTACCTTGATAGCTCATTTCTTTTTATTGTTGAAAATGACTCCATTTTCTGGATGTACTGGATGTCCATTCACCTACCAAGGGACATCTTGTTTACTTCCATGTTTTGGCAATTATATGCAAAGCTGCTATAAAATATTCATGCCAAATTTCTGTGTGGTCATAAGTTTTCAACTCATTTGGGTAAATACCATAAAGCATAATTGCCAGCAAATTAAGTTTGTAAGAAACTGCCAAACTTTTCCAGATTGTACCATTTTGCATTCCCACCAGCAATAAATGAGTTTCTGTGGCTCCACATCCTCACCAACATTTTATATTATCAGTATTCTAGATTTTAACTATTTTAATAGGCATGTAATGATCTATTTTTTAAGATTTTTAAATTTATTAATTTGTCAGATTGTGAGAGACAAAGCACATGTAGGGGGAGTGGGAGGCTGAGGGAGAAGCAGGCTCCCTGCTGAGCAATGAGCCTGATGCAGGACTTGATCCCAGGAGCCTGGAGTCATGATCTGGGCCAAAGGTAGACACTTAACAACTGAGCCACCCAGGCACTCCTATCTAATTATTCTTTTTTTAAAGATTTTATTTATTTATTTGATAGACAGAGATTACAAGTAGTCAGAGAGACAGGCAGAGAGAGAGGAGGAAGCAGACTCCCTGCTGAGCAGAGAGCCCGATGCGGGGCTCGATCCCAGGACCCTGGGATCATGACCTGAGCTGAAGGCAGAGGCTTAACCCACTGAGCCACCCAGGTGCGCCGCCTATCTATTTATTCTTGAGTGAGTTTTGGCAGTTTGGTAATTTGTGTCTTTCAAAGAATTTGTCTATTTCCATCTAAGTTATCAACTTTTTTGGGCAAATGGTGTTTTCATAATGTTACTCTTTAAATATCTCTATAATCTTTAATTGTCCTTTTAAAATATGTCCTAGCATATACATTGTATAACTTGAATTGCTTAAAATTTATTGAGACTATTTTTATGACCTGGAATATAGTCTATCTTGATAAATGCCTTGAGGTACTCAGGGGGAAAATGTGTACTCTGTTGTCATTGGATGGAGTGTTTGATAAATATAAATTAGATCAAGTTGGTTGATCATATTGTCAATTACTTCTATATATGAACTGATATACTTATTTACCAATTACTCAGGAGTACTGACATCTGCAACTAAATTTGTCTATTATTTCTCAAAAATCTATCAGTTTTTGTTTTAGGTCTCTTGAAGTTGTTGGGTGCACAAGGTTTGGGATTTTTATTCCTCTTAATTGGCCACTTTATAATTATGAAATAACCTTTATTCTTGTTACATTCTTTGCTCTAAAGTCTATTTTCTCTAATACTAAGATAGGCACTTTAGCTTTAATTTGACTAGTTTTATCATGATATAACTTTTCCCATTCTTTTACTTTTAATCAATTTGTGTCTTTATATTTGATGTGACTTAATTATAAGCAGTAGATAATTGGATACTGCTGTTTTACCTAATTTGGCAACATCTGCATTTTAATTGGTGTATTTATAGTTAATGTAACTCATGATATGATTGAATTTAAGTTTAGCACCTTGCAATTCCTTTCCTACTTGTCCTTTTAAAAATACCTTTTTTGAGTTAATTATTTTTTATGACCCCATTGTATCATCTTTTTTGGCTTACTAGTTAGAAATTTTTAAAATTTTTATTGGGGATCCTGGGTGTCTCAGTCAGTTAAGCATCTGCTTCTAGCTCAGATCATGATCCCAGAGTCCTGGGATCAAGTCCCACATCAGGCTCCTTGCTCAGTGGGGAGTCTGCTTCTCCCTCTCCCTCCACCTTGCTCCCATGGCTGACTTGTATTCTCTCTCCCTCTCACTCACTTTCTCTCTCAAATAACTAAATAAAATCTTTTTAAAAAATAAAAATAAAAGTTAGATATTCATCCTTTCTGATGGAGGCATAATACTCCATAGTGTATATGGACCACATCTCCCTTATCCATTCATCCATTGAAGGGCATCTTGGTTCTTTCCACAGTTTTGCGACCGTGGTCATTGCTGCTATGAACATTGGGGTACAGATGGCCCTTCTTTTCACTACATCTTTATCTTTGGGGTAAATACCCAGTAGTGCAATTGCAGGGCCAGAGGGAAGCTCTATTTTTAATTTCTTAAGGAATCTCTACACTGTTCTCCAAAGTGGCTGCACCAACTTACATTCCCACCAACAGTGTAAGAGGGTTCCCCTTTCTCCACATCTTCTCCAACACACATTGTTTCCTGTCTTGTTAATTTTGGCCATTCTAACTGGTGTAAGGTGGTATCTCAGTGTGGTTTTGATTTGAATCTCCCTGATGGCTAGTGATGATGAACATTTTTTCATGTGTTGTATCAACATGAATGGGACTGGAAGAGATTATGCTGAGTGA